GGTGCCATTCCCAAGGTTGCTAAGCCACATGGTTGTTGTAGTGAGAGAAAACTCTCCTAGCAACATGTGACTGCTTCTGAGAACTTTCAAAAAATGAAATAAATGGATTTAATTTATTTTTTTAAAAGCTGCTCTGTTAGGTTTATTGTGCTGTAAATGGGCATGATTTAGTGTCCAATCCTGATGGAGATGGGTGCATGCATGCGCAAATGCAGCATGGACTGCATGTTAGTGTTAACTTCCCAATGCTGGAACATTTTTCATTTCCTTTTCCTCCTGCACGGTTAAGGAGAAGCAGTTAGAGAGTGTATCTCAGGACAGGAGGGTGGGTTTCCAGGGAGCCATTTATTATACTTAATTTTTGTAGGTTATATACTATAGAACTTGTCCTAGCATGGAAAGCTGATTCTTTTAACACATGCCTTTCAAAAAGACTAAAATGTCAAAAATGGAAACCCAGAATAGTGAAGAAAGCTAAGATGTAAAAAATAAATAAAAATAATATCTTTTAATATCTGGGATGTCATTCTAGGTGTATTGCAATATATTCACCGTCCCTCTTCCAAGAGTAGTGTACAATTGCAGTCTGGGGGCCCTCTCTCACCTTTCGTCCAGTCCACCTTCCAATCTCCACAAAAACAAATATGCTCCAGTACTGGAGGAGGGAAAGGATGTGGATCAGAGGAGAGCTATGGGCTGAAAGCCTCTCTCGCCCCCTAGGTCTCTCACCCCACCCCCATATGCTCTCAAGCCAGTCAAGAACTTACCGCCAGCCTTGGAGTGGGCAAGGATTTATTCCCTCTTGTTTATTCAATGGAAGGGAATGAGACCAAAACCCAACAATTATGGAGGAAAAAACTGAAAACTCCACCTCAGCAGTGCTTTGGATATCTTTGGTGACTCTGATGTTGGAGCCCTTTAACGTGAGAATGAAAACAGGGCTCAATAAAGCAGAATCAGGACCAGAGTCAAATGAGCATTGGTTTTTATTTTTTACAGAGATATAATGCATATTTGGGTGGGCAATCAACAACTGGAGACTCCTTTGCGCTATTCTTCCTTGATCACAGATGTATTGCTAGACAGAAAGTATACCTGGTTGCAGCTTCTCACTTTAACTTTTTTTTATTTTATTAGTAGCAAAGACCTTTGGTATAAAATGGACTCACAAAGAAGTGGAGTTGACCCAGCAAATTTTAAGGGGCAACATTCTCATCAGCACAAAGGTAGCATGTAGTCCCACTTCACCATTATCAATATAGGATTGCTTCTCTGAATCAGTAATACAGCCAAACAGGATCACTGCTGTGCAGTGGAACAATTCACAAATGTGAGATTCAGCAGGCAGTTAGGAGACAAGCTTCAGCCTCCCCTTATTTCTACTCAAATGTAAACCAAACTAGGAAGAAAGACATAGTATCCTTGACTGAAGGAATCACATTAGAGAAAAGGGGCTTACCACGGATAGTGCACCCTGCTTCCGATTCTGATCCTGGCAACACAGGAACTCCAGAACTCGTGCTGGCTTGTCGTAATAGATCTTCTACTTTGATACAACATTTACCAGCATATGCAGCACTGCAGGTCTGTTGAACAATGGCATACATCTGCCATCCCAATCAATCCTATGCAGATTTATTGTTCTGTGCCACAGATTTATTGTTCTGTGCCATGAAGTTGCATCTGACATATGGCAACTTTAACAGGGTTTCTGAGGCATGTAAAATATTCAAGGAGTGGTTTACTATTGCAAGCCCCCAATGACTGAGTGGGGGATTTGAACACAGGTTTTCTGAATCCTAACTTTGCCTACTACAAAGCACACTTGTGCTCAAAGCAGGTTCTATTGAGTTCAATAAGTTGTACTTCCAACAGAATTTGGAAAAATTCCTTTTTGAACAAGTTCCAGACTTTGCCAGTCAGTGTGCCCAGTGGCTTTTCTGACTGGGAAAGTCTGGGAAAGTTAGTTCAGAAAGAAACTTTTCTGGGCTCTTGTTTCCAAGCAAGTGCTTATAGGAACAAAGTCTTCAATTAATACAGAGTAATCATAGATTTTCTTCTAGTGGCAAAGGGGCAAATTGTCCCACTCTTTGAAAACTTTCCTGGGAAAAATGTAGGGAGCTGTGCAAATTACAAAGTGGTATGAGTTCATGTTTTGCTTTTAAGAGAAGAAACACACACAAAGATGATCTTATCACAGGAATTGACTGAAAACGGGTTTTCAAGGAACAAAATGCTACTTAGAATGAGCTGGACAGTAACTCTTGTAAGTTTTAGCTTAATGAGAGAATTCTCACTAATTGATTTGTTAACAAGGGATGAACATGCATACATAGGTTGATCATTTCGGTATCTGGCATTCACAACAAGCCATGGTTTATAAGAACAGATATAATTCTATTGTGGGCTACTTTTCCATAGGAATGAATCCCAAATATGTGTTGGCAAAGGCAGAATGAAGAGATACCTCTTTAGTGTCTACAGCCTTGCATGTCTTTTTGCCTAGCACAAAAAAAGCACCAATGCTTTTCACACAAGCTGTCAGTGCAAAGTCACAGACCGCCTTCTGGACAGGTCTTAATGGATGTTTCCTAGCAGCTGCTTCATCACATTCCTCAGTCTCAGGAGAAGGCTCCAATTGCCTATTTGTTAAGAGATTAGGCAGTAATTCTCTGAACTTTGCTTTTCTACGGGAGGAAATAAAAGAGATGGAGGATGAACACACAGTTAAGCAACCACAGGCTATATGTATGTACACCTTGTATATAAAACAAAAAGGGATCTCTTCTTGTTCATGTAATTTCAAAGAACATTGTTTACTAAAGGACTCAAACCATTAAATCCGTAGCAGACTCGTATTTACCCAGTCAAGGACAGTTTTAAATTCCCCCTGCAATACCCTAACCCTATCAGCCAGGGAAAACAAGGATCCCTATCTCTGCAAGGAACATACTCCAATGAGAAAACAAACTCAGAAACAAATCCAAATCAATAAAGGCTTTACTTAGCCCGCCTGCCTTCCATTTGCTCTCAGTGGTACATTATCCAATAACTTAGCCATAACTACTTTTGCTTGCGTTCCCCTAAAGCATTTTGTACAGCACACATGCAAAATGAAAGGTGACGTCAGGTCTGAAAGCCAGTGAAATCAAGCAAATCCATTAGAGGTTCACAGTAAGCGTTGTCACAAACACCAAAGGCAACAACTCCATGGGACCACACACCACGTTTCCCTGGAGTGGAATGAATGAAAGGGACCAGCTGTCAGTATCATACCAAAGTCTTGGTTACTGGGGTGCATCCTTCCCCAGCACTGAACTGCTGTTGAGTTTCCTATAGTGTTGCTCACAGTGGGAAAAGAAGGGTAAACAGACGGACCATTTCTGGTGATGGTTCCATACATCTTGGAGTGCTCCATTAACGAATCCCAAAACACTGACGTTTCAACTAAAATGCTTATGGGCTGAGGATCACAATCAAAATACTGAAGGTTTAAAGAGAACCAAACTTCATTCCCCACCCTACCCCCTTCCATTCCCAGAGTCTCATGCAAAAGCATCAGAGAAGTTGCTGGACAACCATCATGTGGCCTGGAGGAGCTCCCACTGTTGCCCTGGTATATCCGACTGGCAGATGTTGGTCACTAATCTGCTGGACTGGCTCTCTAAGCACAAGCCACTGACAAAGTGCTGGATGAAGCTGCCTTTCATCTTCCATTTCTGCAAGTGGGAGAAAGGAAAGAAGGGAGGGAGGGAAGAGAAAGAACAACATCAAAATATGTAAACCTCTCTTCCTCTTGCCAGAGTTTCTTGCTTTTTGTTTCTGAAGTACAAAATAAAGCTATAGATAATGTCTGTAACACACATGAATGACAATGGGAAAAGAGAGGGAACAGATGGTCTATTTGCAATGATGATGATAGCGGTGATGACTATGTTTCTGTTTGATGTTACATAGTTCATCATGGTATTAAATTTCTGGCACAAACACAAAAATATCAGGACTGATCTACCCACACATAGAGTGAGATGTCTCCGTGAGGAAAGGCACCATGGTCTCATAACATGCCTAGCTACATTTTGATTTCGTATGAGGCATCAAGACTGACCTTGTTAAAATGGCTGGAATGGGTGGAAATCAGGTAGTAACTGGAATTCTCTTTTAGGATAAGGGGAGAATCAAGCTTCTTCTTTCAGAACCATTCATACTGGAGTGCTTTTACCACCTGGTAGGTAGTTTCAAATGTAATATATACCCTATTCCTACAAATTTCCACAATATGACAATTACTTCTACCAAACCAACTGTAATTGTATGATACCCACATTCAAAATATGCAAGCACTTAAAAGTGTGTATGAGTATAAATAATGGATTTTAAAATCCACACCTAGGGATTGGTTTTCATCCCACGCACCATTTATGTATCTTAAGAGAAAGGCACCTTCTTATTCACATGAGCACTTCACAACTGAGGCAACGTGCCTACATTTGGTGCTTGGTTATCTGTACCTGAGTCAAGTGGAAATCATCTCATAAGAAGATGCAAACTCACTCCCATACAGAAAACAGACAGTCCAGTATACTATGTGTGCAAACGCTGAGTTTCTTAGAATTACAGATATTTCAGGTTCCCCATATGCAAATCAACAATTCATATGACTAAGAACAGAAACAGACATTATAGATAAGTTGTCATTGGAAGAGAGAATTCTTGAATTGCTGAAAGCCTCTGAGTTCACAACAGGCACTTTCCTGACCTCATACAGTTTACAGACTAGTTTGTTTTTGTTTAATGACTGGTCTTCAGAATTAAAGCATGGGATTCCTTTGAAATCTGATTTCTCTAAAACAAAATTCCATTTGAATTGCATCTGGGGCTTTCAGCTCTAACTGCAGGCTATATATAACTCTATTTCTAAAGTAAGTGGTCCATTAATTTCAATCATATTTTAGTTTTCTGCAACTGTGGTTTATCTCACATGGAGAAGTCATTCTATGCCAGGGGTCAGGGAACTTTTTTACCTTTTACCCCCCCCCCCCAAATCTATATATGCCAACATTATCCCCTTGATTCGAAAGGAAGAAAATACATTAGTTGAATTAAAAACATTATCGAATCTACACAGGCTGTGTACCGAACCAACAGGATGCACCAAATTTGATAAAGATGTGGACTATTTTTGCTGGAACACATTGCACTCCAGCCATGGTGTAGTATAGGGAGTAGTAAGGTGTCCAACTTGCCTAGCAAGTTGTATTAAATTTTTGCTAGCTTGCAGAGGATTTAATCATCATCAGTGGCTCCCAGAGTGGTCCTAGCAATGACATACTTGCTAGAGACAGCCAACGCAGAATTGGGGGGTGGGCTTTCCCTACCACTTTAATCATTCTATGTGTGGTGTGCAAAAAGGAACAAACCAGGCTAAAGGTCATGTCATACACCCTGGTGCCACAGCCCAATATCAAAGGACCAGTGTGCTTTTTTATCATCATCAATGGAAAACTCAGCAGTGGCCAGAGGGTTAGAAAAGATCAGTCTACATCCCAATCCCAAAGAAGGGAAGTGCCAAAGAATGCTCCAACTACCATACAATTGCACTCATTTCACACGCTAGCAAGGTTCTGCTCAAAATCCTACAAGGCAGGCTTCAGCAGTATGTGGACC